GACACGTTTAAAGCATAATGGAAAGAAGAAACTTTGGTACGGACGATTGTTGGTGGTTTTCCCTTTCATTAATTATCTTAGTATATAAATTTGACCCAAATAAAAAGGATTTCATTTTTTTAAAATAAAATCTTGAATGTAAATATTGTAAATGAAAAAATATGCATTGAAAGAGTTTATTTTTAACTGAGATTTAACGTAATGTAATTTTAAATTAATCAAAATTTAATGTAATTATTAGATATCAAAAAATTAATATAAAAAACAAAAAAAAATTAACCTTGTATCTTAGCCATGCAGCTGTACGTATTCTCACTTTCAACATACAGAATCTCTGTCATAAAAAAAATAATAATAATGATAAAAATTAAAAATTTATTACAAACTAACTCTATGTATTTAAATAGAAGATTTATTTATATATAAATTTTATATATTATATTTAGAAAAAAATTTAATTTTTTTATTTATAATAATTAAAATTTATTATAATTTTTTAAATAAATCTTACCTATTAAAAATAAACAAATAAATAGTTAAATTTTTTTTATAAATATAACATATGAAACTTATATACAAATTAATAAGTCCCAACTCATGTATTAATTTTATGATGATTGGACTCGGCGTATGCTTTCTTCCATTCGTTCTGTTACGTGGATGGAAGTGATAAAAACAGTGAAAGAATTATGGATTTTTTTTAGTTTCCACCAACAAAATTATATACATCCAATAATAACAGTGATTCGTTGACATTTTAATTTAATGTATTATATAATATATTTATTAAAAATTTATGTTTTTAATATAAAATTAAAAATAAATAAATTTAAAAATACAACCACATATGTATGATGTAAAAATAGAATAAATTTATTATCTTTATATTATTTTTTAATAATTAAATCAAAATAAATGTCAAAAAATGTATTTAACTAAATATGTACAAATCATTTTCCATCCAAAAATATGCAAATTAATATAGATGTGCAAGTGCAAAACAATGTTCATAATGTGTTTTCATTCCTTTGAGAAATGTGCCCTCAAGGTTTGTCTCAATTGACTAGAAGTTTGAAACTCTAATTTGAAAATTTTGAATTTAAATTTTGACTAAGGGTAGCAAAAATTCACCCAACTCATTAATTCAACCCTAATCCAATCCGTAAAAACAGGTTAGGGTTTATATATTCCAACCTACAAGCTGTGTATAACTTGTAATATCAAGTCGTATAGGTCACAAGTCGAGTTAGGATCAACATGTGGGTTAATGGGTTGACCCATTTGTTTTATTTATTATTATTATTTTTTAAAAATATTATAATTATTATTCTTAATTAAGTTTCTTATTAGCAACTCTCTTTATTAATTCATACTTTTCAACCTCGTTTTTATTACTCAAATGGTCTTGAACTTATTTTGAGTATTTACTCATCATAATTTCTTCTTTCTCTAGAAATTATGTGGGTTTAATCTAATTATCAAGTATTATGAATTAAATGATAATGCAACTAAAAATATTAAAGATGTGATGATAGGATACAAACATAATAATTTAGTGAAAAATGTTCTTTAAAGAGCAATTTCATCATAAAAAAAAGGGAGCTTAAACTCCTTGATAATGTTTTGAGATGATTATAAAATTAAAATTTTATTTTCCAAGAAATTTAAATATTTTAAGTTTAATATATATATATTTTTTATAAAAGGTATAATTGGATTAATAATTTAAAAGCAATTGCACTGTAGAGTATACCATGCCATATAGGCTATGTAAGAGAGATAAATAAATTAGGTAAAACCTATAACACTAATATAGAGAGCTTGGTACTCCATACAAATAGAACAATTAGGAATTGGGAACCTCTAAATACTAGTATATGTTATAGGGGTATCAATAAAGATATGTGACAACATAGAAAGACTACACTGGAGCTTGCGGTCGCTGCTGGTAATCACATCTATTTTGCCATCCAAACCTAGTACGAGAGATTAGAGGACTAGGCAATGCGTTGTCTCCTGGCACCACAATGCTTCGTCCAAGAAAAAAATGCCCAATTTGTTTCATGTTCAGGTGGCCGACAAAAGAAAAACCAATGCAAAAACATACACTTCCTTAGAAGACCAACAACACTAGAACCAAAGTCACCCACAGCATCCCTGTCCTTCTGTATTTGATTACTGGATCGAAAATTAGAGTGCATTAGGTTCTCTAATGTAGATCGAAGGATGTCACTGCCTTGCCAAAAATTAGAGTGCACCAGGTTCTCCGAATGCAACCCCTGCCATGATCCCATCCAAAATTGAAGATATGTTAAAACGAGATTCTAATCCGATAAATAAGAGAAACCCAAACCCACTAGCGAGATCATGTCTCTCGATATTCAATCACAACCTTCAAAAATCAACAGTAGATGTAGATTGAAAGATGTCGCTACCTTGTGGTCCTTTGGATTGAAGTTTCCAAAGCAAGACAGTTGACTAAGAGGAAGGAAGAAATCAAGAGGAGGAAGGGAAAGGGAGAAGACAATAAAGAAAGAAGAAACTCCTTGCCGGAGAGAATCCCTTGGGAGAAACCTGTAGCTGCCACCCTCAACCCTAAGCAGAGCATGAGAGAAAAAACAAGTTTAATATTATTAATCAACTTATTATTATTTACAACTTTATAATTTTTTTTTCATTTAAATGTTTGTGATTAAGACTATAAAGTGTTTAGTGTTAAATGAGTTACAATACTTCAATTAAATTTATATATATAATTTTATATGTATACAATAAAATTAATAAAAATAATTATAAAAAATGAAAATAAAGCAAACCCAA